TAGAGCATGAGGGAAAGACAGCAGGATATTGGGCTTTGAGTAAACAAGCTCAGAAAAAATAATAATGAACTTCAAAATTTAAAAATTATAATAGTAAATGAGGTATCTATGGTATCCAATCTAAATTTAGCATACTTACACATGCGCTTAGAATATATATTGGTTCCAAAAATATTTTATTTGTAGGTGACCTCTTACAATTGCCACCAGTTAATGGTAGGCCAGTATTTCAAAAAATTAGCAACAAACTACTAATCACTAGACTTGGAGTAGCAAATGCAGTAAACATATGGAAAGAAACAATAGAATATGATGAACTAACAATCAATGAGCGACAAAAAGGAGATGAAACTTTCTTTAAGATGGTTGATTGGCTGTCTGATTGATGAAACTATTGATACGCTTAAGAGTCGCGTATTTAAGGTTTCGTTACATGAAAAATATAAGGAATTGGAAAGTGAAGAAACAAATCCTCCAATTTGCCTATTTTCTAAAGTAGATGCCTGCAAAAAAATCAATGAATTAATGTTAGAAAGTCTAGAAACTGAGAAAATAGAATTATCATGTGTTGATGTTGTTGATGAAAGTGGCAGCACAGCAAAATTTGACAAAAAACAAGAAAAAGAATTAGAGAAGCAAAAGATCAAACAAGCAAAACAGCTGGTAAATTTAATGTCAAAGATGATGATAGTTGTAATAGTCTGATTGTATCTATAAAACTCTCAAGCATTAAATGTAAACCGAAAGATGATAAAACAAAGTGTATCATAAATTTGACAATTAAAGTAGTAGTCTGATAGTATCCTTAAAACTCTCAAGCATTTGATTAAAGACATGTAATCGAAAAAAGATGATGTCATTATTACTTATGACAAGCCATACAATCCAGGAGGAGACAAAGGGATTTTGTTTATTGCCCTGCTAATGAAGAAGTTCAAAGGAGGTGGTGTGAGATATTGAACCTTAAGTTTGTAACAGCTGCTAGAATCTTACCTGGCAGTCCAACAACACCATTGTCAGATGAAAGAGTTCCTAATAGTACTCTTGATGTCCCTGGTGATGGTAACTGTTTATTTTATGCCCTTTCATATCTCATTACTGGGTCCATTTTTCAGCGTTATGAGATATGTAGAGCAATTGTTTGTAATATGCCAAACATTGAAGAAGAATTGTTTAATAGTACATAAAGTGCAACCAGATATTCAAGCATATATGAATACATAAATAAGCCAAACATGTATAGAAATTGTGTGGGCCACTGACAGAGATTTTTACGCATTATTAGGTATAACCATATATTCATATTCACTCACTCCTACTTTTGTTGGCTGGGCTAGATATGCAACCGGGAGTTGTATGGCATTCCTTGTGATACTACTACACCTGCTTTGTATTTGAAGCATGTTGGTACTAATCATTTCCAAGCTGTTAAGTCTATTAATATTTCTTAAGCATTGATTGTTGATGGAAAGTGGGTATGGTGAATGGGAGGTCCATCATCTTTAAAACATTGGTGGTTTTAAGCATTGATTGTTGATGGAAAGTGGGTAATGTGAATTGGAATTCCATCATCTTTAAAACATTGGTTGTTTAATGTGACTTTTATTTCACTGCATGTGCAATGTGAGTGTGTGTGAAAACAAGGTGCATATCCACCCATTATTGCTTAGTATATATAAAGTGATCAAACTGCATTCAGGATGTGAGATTAATCAATGTTTAACAGTCAATATTAATTGCTTGTTGCTATAATGGACAGGGAGAGGGTGTGAAAGAGGTTTACTGTTTATTAGAGTTTAGCATTGATTCATTTTTGTGTGACTATCATTTATGTAGGACAGAGGGTTAGGAAGGGAGGAAGCTGTCATTACCAATTCCGAATCTTGTTTGTGGCTTGTACTACATCTTTATAACAAATATCAGGTGCTTATGGATCAAGGGCGCTGCTGACAAATTTTGAAGGACAAGAAAAATTTAGAGTAACAATAAAAATTCTGATTTTGCAAGTAGTATCATTCGAACAGTGATTTAGTACATATATTAATGATCATCATACATGTCAATGCTGCCATCAATGCTGTGCACGTTACATATATGTAAATGCTTGCCAGCTGATGTTGCACATAATGCTGCCATCAATGCTGTGCGCATTATTAAGTTAATGCTTGCTAGCTGATGTTGTGCATTTGAATGATGCTGCCATCAATGCTGTGCGCATATTCTTGCCAGCTGATGTTGCGCATCTTTTGTTGATGATTGTAATTATGTGCTTGTTCATATTAACAAAAATATTGTTGGCACATCGGAAATTCTTCATGTGCACAATGTTATTTTATATTAAGCAGGTCATGAAAGTATTTTTAATGAAGATATTGTTAGTAAGCAATATTTTGTCTAAAATACATGCCATGTATGATCCAATCAGAAACATCGTAGATGCTACCATTATCATTATTAGGTAGTATGTTACATACATACTTTTTATAGGTACTTATGTACTTGGCACAAGGTCTACAATGTGGTGTTAAAGAGTGAGGTTTGATGTGATTGGTAAGTGCTATTGTTATTATTAGCCTGCAAGTTTACATTGCTTGCTTTTGATGTTTCTATTTCTATGCTTTACAGGTAATTATGGCTGGAAATTATTTGGTGTTTCAACAATAGTTTTGCTTGATATTGGAATGTGAAATATAATTAAAGGCAATTCTGGAATTAGATTCTTGAAACTAAATTGATTTCTTCCTTAGTGTTTTGTTGCAGCTCCTTGATCAGTAGTTGTATCATGCAGTAGTAGGTGCCAGTTTACATCTGTATAGGTTTCATATTATTGTAGTTGTAGAAATGGAATATGTAGTAAGACTGAGAGTATTGTGAGATGTCTTATGTACTTTTGTTATAGGTTATGATTCTAGGTTACATCCTGTAGATTAGCTTGATTATTATATTATTAATAATGGCCACAGTAATTACTTTCTTTAGTGAATATAAATGAATGCTTGCCAATGTACCTTTTGTTGTTTTCCATTAACAATACAAAAATAATTGTTTGCACATTGGAATGTATTCATGTGGTCTATAGGGATGCACCAATATCGATACTAATATCGGTATCGGCCCATTTTTATCAAAATTGGTTGATATCGGTATAGCCGAAATAAGTTTCCAATATAAGAACTGTTGATGAGTATAATAATTTTTTTCAAAATACCATAAAATGACATGAAAAAAACAGTTTCAGTTCATAGAAATTAGAGATGCTACAGTTTTTAAGAAAGAACCTACCAATTTTTGACTATAAATATTAATGACACTATTCAACAATTGTTTTATGGATAACAATGGACTATTTTCATTCTTAAAAACATTTTCATAAATGTATCCATGTTAATGCAATTTCCACAAAATAATTGGCTGGTTAATATCGGTTTTGAAAATCTGTATCGGTGCATCACTAGTGGTCTATTATTGTGTATTTCGAGAAAGCAGGTCTCGTAAAAGGAACATAATTCAGGAAGGCATGAGTCAGCAAAATGAACTGTGTAAGTCTAAATTACATGTACAGTGTATGTACCTATACCTGTATGATCCAATCAGAGCTTAATATCCATTGTGGAGCTAAACATGTCATATATGTATATTAATTGTTGCTAAAAGCATGTATTCTACTGTTAATTTGTTACTACATTTATTAATTCACATTCCTAATTTGCACAGGTACATATGTGAACATAATTGACCTTATGGCGGATTTTAAAATTGATCGT